AAGCTCATTTGCGTGTGGAAAGCCAATGACACACACAGGAAAGATCACCAAATTCATACCCAGTGAATTGTCTCATAGTATTAATCACTGATTGTCTTTATTGCAACATTTTGCAGGTTTTCAGAAGCTCTTCATGGGATTTGTGTTTTGGTTGCTGAGTAGGTCATTATGTGCATTGTTTGTTTGACCTTATTGGGTTTGATTTTGTTAAAATATGGGAAGGGATTAAGGACATGGTTTAGCTACCTGTCCACAACAAAATCAATTCAACCACATAATGGGAGTCACTTTACTGCAAGGATGGTTCAGGAATGGGCACACAATGACGGAATACAGTGGGTTTTCTACACCCCATACTACTGTGAAGCAAATGCAATAGTGGAGCTAACAAATGGACTTCTGAAGCAAACCCTGAAACCCAGATGGCCACCATGAGAGCCAGACATGGTGACAAAAGTAAATAGCTGCTGAGCAATAAACAGATACCCTAGGCTGACCCCCTCCCTACTTCCAGGAAGGGGAGATATGAAAGATCCAATTCACCCACTCCACTATCCCACACAATCTGTTTTGGCTTTACCTACTGTAGGGGAAGTAACTCTGACATTGGAAACCCCTTTGAATTTTTATCCGTGAATAGCAAATTCTTTGGTGGTCTAAGACTTGTGTGCTTGATCTTTGTTGTATTTTTGTAGGTTTTTTGTTTATAACAAAGTTTTGAAATATAAAGATGAATATATACGTACATATCATGTATATGAAGGGATGTTTTGTCTTGGGATGCCTACCAGATCGTACAGACTGTATCTATTTGTTTTGCAGTTGGTGAAATGTTTTATAATGTCCCTGCATTGGGAACAGATAGAAAATACTTTATCCGAGTATAGTTATGGAGAAGTGAATATTGGGAATGGGGAAACAGGTGGAATCCAAGTAAGACTTGTAATTTTACTGGGGAAAAATTTTAGAATATAACTTGGCAAATGTACGTTTTGTACAACTGTACACACCATGCATTTGGAAAAAAAAGAACTTAACACCCAGGTTCAATAAGTGTTGAAAATTATTATGGAGTATGTGGAATGTTGAATCTAACTGCCTGGGAAAGTTGCATAACTATTCATAATGAATCTACCTCAAGTGAAGAAGACTGAGCCAAGATGAGAGAGGTTGCAGACAAGACCGGAGAACTTTTCCAAGCAATGCAACAAAGTCAACTAATGAAGGATTATGGATGACATCTCTCCTAAAGTCCTTGGGACTCACAGGGTGGGGGAAATGGCTTGTTAACGTTGAACTTATGGTGTTATGTGAATTCTTGTTCTTAATGATTGGCCTTGCCCTTATGCAATATGATTACCAGCTTGTCACTGTAGACACAAAGTGACACACACACTCACATGCGTGAATAAACGGTTAGTTTTTTCATTACTACAAGTGTGAATTGTTATATATTTCAGGTGCCAGAGTGTTAGAATATAATTGTTCAAAAAGTTGTTTTTAACATTCTCATTGGATAACCCTTATCAGTTTCCTCCCTGCTTGCTTCATCCTGCTGTGTAGTCAGCAGCTCCTTGGTAAGTTTGTTGCTTGAAGTAGAGCTTCCCTTTCTCAAGGGTACACCTGAATCTTGTCAATATCAAACTGTTCTTCAATCAGGTTGTTGGCAGACCAGCTGCCTTCCCCAGCACCCGCTTACTTTTCTCTTCTTTTGTACTGTCTGGTATGTAAAGTTTACTACAGTGGAAGATAATCTCTATGACAATTTAGTCCAGCAGAATTTTTGAGCCACGGGGCGGTGTGACAGCATGATGAAACCACAGTTAATGTCTCAACCATCCGATAAAGAACTCTGGCAAAGGAAACTGTTTCTATGGAAACGCTGGGGCTGTGCAGGTAATGGCAGGGAGGTGCAGCAAGAGGAGGGGGTCTTGCAGAGGTGGGGGTGGCATCACACTTTTCTGAGGCTGAACTTCCCTGTCTTGAGTGACTCTGTGAAGAGCCAATAGAGAAGCCATCTTCATGAAAGGTCAAAAAACTGTCAAACCTCCAGGGAGGGGGGAGTAACTCCCCAGTGACCCCCAAGACCACTGACTCATTTCCAAGAATCTGAAGGTACAAACCGCGCATGTACCAAAAGCAAGGAGAATTCTAGAAGCATAAGGTGTGCATGATGCCTAATTAGTTAAACGAGTCCAAGTGTCCACCTGCCTGGAGGAGGGGCAAGGAATTATAAAAGGACGCAAGTCAAAGTCCCAAGTGGCTGCACCACACCACTACTGGACCCCTAGGCTGGCTCAACCAACACTGGAATCAGGACTGGTGAAATCGTTTTTTTTGTCTCTCTCTTCTCCTCTTTCCCCTTTTCTCTCCCATTCTTATTCTGTATGCCATCATATAAAACAAGGCTTTTTTGGGCATGTTTAAGGCTTAGAGGTATGTTATAAGATCTGCCACTAGTCAGTGTAAGTTTAATGCCTTTTTTAGAGGATGCAGAGATTGCTGACAAAGTTTTGTGCCAATTATCTGTTGTAAGTGAATAAAAACTGAGTTTTGTGATTTGAAGAATCCTTGTCATTTCACCTTAATCCTGACCTGGGAATCAGCAAATCTGAGTCATCGTCTTGAGAAATTTGGATGTGACAAAAGTTCATGGCATCTCTGGTAGACTGTCTATTCACAGAGAGGAAGAGCAATGAACTTCAATCATTTTTTAAGCTCATGCACATGTGTGGTGGTTTAGGCCCTGCTGGGACCAGTAACCACGTTGCTGTTGTCCCTCCCCCACCCTTGGCCAGGCAGGGCTGGAAGTGAGGCACAAACCCTGGGGTGGAAATAAGACAAGATTTAATACAACAGTGTAATAAATAACAATATGAACAGCAACAATAAACAGTAATAACAGTAAACAAGATAAAAGATATACAGAGAAATACCGCAAGGGACACAGCTAGCCTGCCACGTGCATCCCCAGACAAAAGCCACCGGAAACTGTTCTCGCGTTTGGCACATGGACCTGATGTCAGCATGGTATGAATAACCCAGCTAGAGCCCCCTCCTCACTGCTGGGGAAACTTAACCCTATCCCAGTTGAACCAGGACAACATGGTTATCTTCCATTACTGTGTCTGAATTCCAATTTATAACTAAATGCAACTCTGAACATTAATACTAATCTATTCTTACTAGAATAGAACACAATACAGTAAAGAATCACAAATCAGGCCTCATCTCACATATCATCCAAGATTCCCACCCCTCCCTGAGAAAGCCCAAATAACCCAAAGTTCATCATAAATCCTAAATATGTCAGTCACAGGACTGAGTATCTCAGACATGGGAGGAGGAAAATGAAAAAAATCAAACCAGTAGCTCTCCTTGATAAGGAGATTCAGAACTGTCAGCCTCAGATTTATCACATTGGTTATCCTCAGCCTCCAGAGAAGATCTTCATTAACAAGGCAGCAGCTGTGCTGCCCACAATGAGCAGTTCCAAAAGTAAGCCTGATATGACCCAGATGAGTGCCTATCCTCATCTTGGGTTTGTTTAAATATGAAACATAATTTTTAAATTTCTTGTCCTAATTGTACTTACATGCCCTAACCTGGACTTAAACCTAAGCCTTCTCCTGGACTAAATGCCAAATATAAAATCAGCCATAGGGTCAAAGTTATCACCATTTAGCTAGTGAACTGCCAGGAGTACCATACCTTAAACCAAGTCCTCCTGGAGCAACGTGGTCTTCTTGGCAGCAAGAAAGTCAGGCTCAGTGGTTAGAGGACAACAGCAAACACCCCACCATCACCAGGTAATAGCTGAACAGGATAAAGAAACTAACAATTCCTCCCCAAAATCATAATTATAACAATACACAATTCCCTCTTCTATTCCCACATAAATACCCCACACCCCCATTTGGGGGGTATTTTAGGTGGAGCAACCATTAAGCAGCCAGTGCTTGTCAACATCTGAGGTATTAGTTGTTTAATCTCAAGGCTCCCTCACTTATCCTGCTGAGGAGCTAAGTTTCATACAAGCTGCTCTACATTCTGGTGATGGGGCAGGGAGTCACATACTGACTCCCAGTAGTCATATTTCATTCCCACTCCTCTAGCCATCTCTGCTGCTGCTTTTGTTCCTTCTACAGATCTTTGCTGCTCTGAAATGTGAAGGCTTGCTAGCAATTTCTGTTCCTCTGTCCAGGTTCAGCTAGGATAGGGTTAAGTTTTCCCAGCAGAGAGGGGGAAGGGATCTCTAGCCGGGTTGTTCATACCATGCTGAGGTCAGGTCCAGGCACAGGAGCACGGGAACTTTTCCTTTGTGGCTTTGGCGATGGGGAGCGAGTGAGATGTCTGTAACCATTGCAGTATTTCTCTGTATATCTTTTGTCTTGTTCACTGTTATTGCTGTTTATTGTTGTCATCATTGCTACTGTTGTTGCTCAGATTGTTTTGTTACACCGTTGCATTAAATTTCTCCTTATTTCAACCGCGGGGTTTGTGCCCTACTTGTGTCTGAGGGTGGGGGAGGGGCAACAGCAACGTGGTCTCCAGTCCCGGCAGGGCTTAAAACCATCACATCCTCTGACTTCAGCTCCTCACAAAAACCCACACAGAGCATATGTGTATTATGCATGGTTCTCTTGCTTCCAATGGAAATTAAAAGTATTTTTCTGCTACAGAAAACTGACTTGAACTTTCTTCCTTATGAAAATTTTTTTTGCCCTCAAACTTGTAAACTGTTTTCTTAGATTAAAGCAATTACCTGTTCCAAACCTAATCACTGTAGATTAAATGGCACAACTTCTTCCATTTTGTGACATTGGTTCCTTCTAGTAATAATACATCTCAAGCATAATTAACAACATACATAAATTAAATGTTTCAGGCCTACCTGTTCATTCCCTTATTCATCACCCTTTTCTATATCAGATGTGAACAGCACCTCATTCATTTGGTCTTTTTTTCCTTTTAGGGTCTTTATTCTCCTGAGGGGATGACAAGTAAGGGGGACTGCTTTCTCTTTTATAGAACCCGAGACATCACTTGTACATGCTTTTTATCCCAACTCCCTGCCAAATGCCTGGCAGCCTGACAAATCCATTTCTATCACACTTGGACAGACCAAATGATACTTCTCATTTTCTCAGCTATCTGGAGCACATCAAATAGGTATTTTTAATAGGTTAAGCGTTTTTCAAGCTAAGGTTTTGGGGGGGGTGGGAATTTTTTGGTTGTTTCATCTTTTACTTTGTAAGTTGATAACTTTTTTATTGTTGTTTTGAGTGATATAGTTACTGCTTTTTTGGATGAGAGGAAAATTAACTTCTCTGGAGACTTCTTCTGACAAGATGTTTTTGTGCCTCCTTCCATGATGAAAAAGGTGACTTTTTCCCTCCTAGAAGAGATCTCATGAAGACAGATGTCAGATCTCCAGCCTGTTTTTCAGATGTCTTTTCATGCACTGTATTTGAAGTGAAGTCTCCATCAAAATTTTTTTCCCCTGTCTATCTACCAGATGTCAACAGAACATTTCCTCCAGGTGGGCACTCTGCAGGAGCTATCTGCACGGGGGAAGAGAAAGGATGAAGGGGATAAAGGCTGTGTTTCATCTGTAAGCCTCAAAACCAACAATAATTCAGAAGTGTAGACTGGCAGCAAGGATAAATATTAAATAAATAACAGAGCTTCCAGAATACTGCCATTCCCAGAAAATTAACCTTTACAGAGATTAAAGCAACAATAAGCAATTAGCTCTTATTGAAATTAACCATTATTCCACACATGGGATGTGCAGAATGTAACACCACCACTTGTCATCTTGTACTTTTCCAAACCCTAAAAAGAATGATCTTTTCTCAAACTATATAAAGAATGCACCTTCTCCTGTTGTTCATGGCCCTTTATTACACTGTTGAAGACATTTTCAATCTAGTTCCCTGAACTAGAACCTAACCTTAAATCAAAGAATGTCAACCAACTCTATTCACTCAAAAAAATACTTCAGTTATTTGAGACAGAAATAGTGATTCTGAAGAATAAAATGTCTTATTTCAGAGCTCAGAAAGGGAATACAAACAGGCAGATAATTACTACCATTTCACAAGCTCACTGTTTTCTGCTTCACATTAGTCCTCAAAGGTCCAAAAGTTTGTGTCTTGGCAAGATTTGGTCAGATTTTCAGACAGAAAAGAGAACTCTAACCCAAAGGTCAGCTTCCAGCTAAATATCTGTTGTCTGCTCTAACACCACAGGGAATCTACAGTATTTAAGGAAAGATCACTGGTGTATTCTTTTATTGTCCTTGGAAATAGCTTTGCTGCCTTGGCAGAAGTATCCAGAAGAGAAATTCTGTTGGATACAGACATTTTTCTTAGAAAGTTTCAGCCCCATATTGCAAAAGTTTGCCAGCCTTCCAAAATCTGAAACAAGATACTATAATTACAAGTACCTACTAGTCTCCTAGACTATATAAGTACTACATTCTGCGTGGTTTAAGAACCAAAAAAAAACCCAAATTTGAATGAAAAGTGGAAAATAAGATTTTCATTTTAATATTTTAGCCTTAAAAGAGAGATAACTTGGGAAACTTGACACCACAGAAACTCTTGCAATCTACCAAGAATTAATCCCAGATACACACTGTACGCCTAGGCATGCTTCTGGGTTGAGTTTTTATTATAGACAAGGCAGCGTCACCTCCTCAAATTTAGAAAAGCAACAAGCATTCACATGTCTTTGCTGAAACAAGCTCTCCTCTAATCTGACAATCAAGGTTTAAGAACAAGTTCCAGAAAGTTTTTCCAATCAATATCAAATACGTTAATGGATTAGTTTTCATTTCTTATTCAGTAATGTGGTAATAGTCAAAAAACTTTGTAATCTGTTCTTGAACCAAATTAAGTACTAGAGCACCTGGAGCATTTCCAAATGCAGGGAGGAGAACTTTGAGGTCAATAGGATTAACTCCCAGTTTTTAGGCTTTAATGTGCCAGTAGTACTGAGAGCATGATAGGTTTCCTCAGCAATTCTGTGGTAGTTTTAAAGGAATTTTCTGTCCTAGTGTGTAAAATCAGACAAGAACACGCAAACTGGCAGACTAACTAATAAATCCAGAGGCACTTCTGCTGCTGTTTATCATACTTGTGGTGAGTACCAGGGAATCACGTATTACCCTCAAGAAAGTAAATTATGTTCTTCAAAATGCTGAGAGTGTTTTTGCCTGGGGTTTTGGTTGGTTGGTTGTTTTCTTTAACTGCTACTCTCACTATTCTAATGTATTACTCAGTACTTTATCACTCTACTAGGGAAAGGCAGGTGATAAAGTAGAAGGGAAATCAACCTGGTTGTGATCTCATGATGCACAAACGCTCCAATTTACTTTTAACAAGTAGATTTTAATTTTTATTAAGCTAATGCTAGACTTTATAGTAATAGGCTGTTTAACAAACAGAAAGTGAAATAAAGTCTGAATAGCTGGAAGATGAAATGGTACATTTCAGATTCATGTGAAATTTAAGCCAATACTACGGGAATTTTCACCAGTCAAGCCAAAGATTTCATCAAAGTAACACCCAACATAATAAACTGAAGCAAAATTAGCTCCCACTCCCCATAAGTAATAAAAACATAGAATTAGACTTAATTCCAAAGAATCACTTTGAAATGAAAACCAAGAGTACTGAAAATATTATTTTTTTATTCTTTTTTTGAGGCTACTTGTGGGTATTGGAAAGAGAATGTTCTGGAACTATTGTTCAATTTTAAAAACTGGCATACAAATACTTGGTATTGATCTGAAACTAAGTTTTCTACTAAATTCATTATCTATTCAGAATGGTTTATTTAACAGATCTAAGTGTCCCGAAGACGGAAGATGTCAGATTTTTATACTATCTATAGGGACAGGATACAGCTATAAAGATTAACCTTAATATTCACCAAGGCTTTGGAGCTGTTCATGTCCAGAGTGCAAGCCTCACCATCCATTAACATTTTCCAGTGAAAAGACAAGGGTAAATATGCACTGACATTACTACTTGAAAGAGAAGGAAAGCTGAGCTTCTTTATATTATTGGCTGAGCTGCAGTGTGGTTTCCATTGAAAAGGAAAATGAAAAGGGAGAACTACTGAAACCAGAGGCAAGATTAATCAATGTGTTGGATTGATTCACATAATGACATTTCCCCTTAGCTATTCTGAATAATTTCATTCACTAAGAGAAACAGACAGTCATTTTCATTTACCAGTATGTCAGGGTTTTCTATACAGACTTTGAATATCTAGATTCATTTAGCTGCATCCCTGTTTGAATGAAGCTTAGAATGATTCAAAGGCATTTGAGCTGTCATTTCTACCTGAATTCTGGAGGTTAGTTTCCATGCTGTAATCACAATGAAAATACAGAAAATAAAAGGATGCACCGGCTACAGATAAAGCATACCAAAGTCAGGGCAACTGGTAATTATTTCATAAGTGATCCAAGCAATACTAATACAAGGTTATGCCATTCCTTCTATTTTACCACTTTATTTATTTATTTAAATAACAGATTACATCACAGCTAAGACTGCACGATGATTTTTCAGGCAGTTCTGTGGAACCAGAAAAATACTTGTGGGGTTTGTAGCTTTCTTAAACAGATTTTTCTTCTCAAAGTCCACGACACTGTAGTGTTCTTGTACGTCAAGTTTCACTTTATTTTGAGACAATGCAGATATAAGTCTTTTTCCACTGAAAGCAGCCTAAATTTATGTAGAAAAATCTTCACTTTAAAAAAATAGAGGTTTTTACTTTTCAGTAGGAAAAGAAATCATTATTTCTTCAAAAGGTGAAAATGCTGGAGAGAATGGGGGTGAGTAGGGACAGGTGCTCAGAAGATCTTGCTATGTATGGGAACAGTAGGGAACCAATCAAACATGCCAAAGAAGAATGTTATGAAAACACAGCCATGCTTAAGGTGGATCCCTTTAAGGAGCATATATAAAGCAATTGCGCAGCTAATAAGTTAAACAAGTAGCAACCATCATATTGGTGTCTGTGCTTTTGTTCCCGTGAAGGTGGTAACCTCCTGCAAGGGTTAGCTGTGATCTGAGCACCACATTTCTGTGGATTGACAGGTAGAAAAAGACAGCTAATACCTTACCACAACAGGGGTGCATCCCTGAAGGGCATGAGAAGTGATGGCATTGGTCCCCAGATGTTCAAACACCCCAAAGGAAGCTGAGGACACCAGTACCCCTAGCCTCTCTGTACTCTGGGGAGATGCCCTTTACATGCCCTTGAAAGTATCACAGGGACCAACACACTGGGAAGAAGGGCACATGCTTTAGTTCCTGCTCTGTCACCAGAGCTGAGACCCAATCTTCAGCAGGGAGGACACATCTGCCCCTCTCAGAAGGTGGCACCTAAGCCGCCTTGCTCCTTTCTCACATAACAGATGCCAGGAAGAGAAGTGCATGAAAGGAAGACACCACCACAACTGCTATGAGACCAACAGAGCTCTCCAGGCACACAGACCCCATTTCCAGAAATTTCTTTAACCTTTCCCTGGGTTAAACAAGAAGATCCTTTGTCCCAGCTCTTCTGTTTGGCTGATGTGTTTGGGCACGTTCAGCTGCGGACAGAGACTCTGCAAGCAGGATATACACAGCATTAAAGTGGAAAGAATTGACTTGTTGACTAAGCCACACAGAAGGTAGCTGGGATTTAGTGAGCTATAAGACTTTGCATTACTATGCTCCCAGCCTGAGGGGGCCCCTCAGGGTCTTTGCTGGCCAGACAGGCACCAGTCCAGCAAGGAAGGGTCAGCCTGCATGACTCCAGGAATGGCTCCTCCACCCTGTCAAGCTGCCATCTTCCACCAGCTCCATCATCACCAATGACTCAACCCAATTACCCAACAATCCTGACTAGCCTTCTTTCCTCCCTGCCCAATTCTTCCTTTTTAGGGTTTTGTCTTTTCCTACTGTTTTTTTGTGCTGGTTAATCCTTGAGCTACTGAAAATCTGGTCTCAACTCTCTTACTGCTGGCTATAATTTCATCCTTCTTACCTTTCAACAGAATTTCTCACAGGTCTTCTTCTGCAGTTGTGAGCAAGGTTGTGCATCTGGGATAAGTCAGAGCTGGACCTTGGAGCCTTGGGACAGAGGTAATTAAACCTTTAAGAAATGAGAGGGTGTTCCAGCAATGGTTCTTCCCTGAACTTTTCCTAATATGACCTGCACAGCATAGGTTGAAGCTTGTAAATATTGGCTAGGATCATGCAGAAGATAAACAACAGTGGTTCACTGTTGAGATGTATATTCAGTAGCACAGATTTAGGGTCTTATCAACTGTAATTTAAATGCCTGCAATGCAGGCAGGATTTTGAAGGCATTACACTTATATTTAAGTACTTAAAGTAAGAAACAGAGACCTAAACAATCCCCAGTGATTCAAGAGAGTAGTGAAGTAGGTTTTTTTAACATAGAAGGCAACTTAAATGGGGGAAAACAGTGCTTGCTGCAAGGTACATGCCAAAGGAGAAGAGGCAGCAAAACACATTCTGGTGTAGTTGCTTCACTTTTTTCAGAGCATACAAAACATATCCAGGGAAAATTCCCTTGGCTTATGAGGAGAACAGAATTTCTCTGCACATTTGCTATTCACCCTTTGCTCCATTTGGAAAGGAAATTCTAGATATCAGCTAGCACTTCTAATTGCAGAAAGCCAACGATATTCCGGTACAGAAGAAAAATAATGAAGGTCAGGAGTAATGACAAGTATTCCATTTGTCTTTATAGAACTAGCCAATATCCGTAATGAATCTCCTTATGTATGTCTGCAGAAAATAAATGGTTATATTTGCTTAAACCACATTTGAATCAGCTTCAAAAAAAGGTTTTATTTATGTCCATTAATTCACCCCCAGTTTCAGAAGAAGGGTTCAATGTGTTCCTATTTCTTCTGAAGTACCGAGCTCAGTAATGGCAAGAGGCACCAACGTGCTTCACATATTTCCCTTTTTACCCAAGCTTTACACTTCAGATAACAGATACTTGAGGAAAATCATACAATCCATCAAACTTGTTTCAGCATGTGTCTAGCCAGCTGAAGGCTCAAATAGACTTCAGACAGAATAAGTGTCATACTGAATTGAGAACACAGGGCTTGTCCAAACAGTGGGAGTCAAGAGGTTGCACACTTCTGAGGACATTCAGAAAACAGGACTAACTTGATTATCAGGAACTGATTCATAGGACTAAATGTCATTTATCACATTGACTAGACTTGAGTTTATCATTCCAACTACCTTTATGCTCAGTTCAGACAAAAAAAAAAAACAACAACAAAAAAAAAAAAAAAAAAAAAATTTATGTAGAAATTAGATCAGTGTCACCAGCGTGGAGTATATTCCCATAATAAAGTCCATCAGGTTAAAAGTTCCTTATTACAGGCTCTGTCATTATATGCACTGTTTTGCATGGATATAGTATGTGTCAGGGAGCCACATTTTGATTATTGTCATATTGAACAACATAAGTGATGTAGGAAGCTGTAAGAATCATTGTATTTCATTCACAGCCTGATCATGGCATCTAAATCTAAAAACAAGTTATTCAGCTCAGGACAGCAATCTGTAATCCCCTGCCCTACACATCTTCCCTTCATTTCAGCTCTTCCTTGAAAAGACAGCAGAAAAAGTGATGCAGCCTGAACAAGACTGAGGGGCAGTTATAAAATATTCATAAATGCTGTTACCTCACATTTTCCTCACATTTTTACCTCCATGCTTCTAGTAGCTTTCCAACTCTGTGAGCCACCTTGGAGCACAAGGGAAAAGGCAGCTGAGACAGGAACCACGTGGCAACTACAACTTTTCACCTCAGATGTAATTCACTTAGTCAACTGTCCTGTTTAATATCTTCTAGTGCAGCACTGAATGCTAAAAATTCAGATGAAGTATATCACATGGGAAAATTTTAACGTTACTGCTAATTATTATATATGTACAGTCTAAAAGAACCAAACAGCACTTGTACTTCTCTGACACATTTTCTACTAGAACAGAAAGGGTAAAAAGAGTTAAAAAAAAAAAATAATGATAAATGCCTGTCTTGTGATACCTTACTAATTAAGGCAGATTCCAGATTTCACTAAATATAGTTACACAAAGGAATCTACTACTAGTACTAAGTAATTGAGTCTGAGGTACAAAAGTAAAAATGTAATAGACTTTAATGAAGTTCCGTATGCCACTAATGGTCTCTACTCCCATGAAGTGTTATAATAGGCTCTCTTAGTACTCTCTACCTGTGGTATCTTTTAGTCCCCCAATAGGTACAGTTCACTCTGTGGTTTCAGAAGACTTTTTTTAAACTACATATATGAAACTTAGTTATCTAACACCTCTGTTGTAACTCATTGTCCCAGAAATAAAAGTGCTGACTCTACCAAGTTAAAAAAGCACATTTTAAAAGGTTGTAAACATTTAATTATTTTATGATTTAATACTTTTTTTTTATCAGAGTAGCAGTTTCAAACATAGATATAAAAGCCCAGGATGAACAGCTGATACAATATATCTGGCTGGTAATACTGCTTTCAACAAGCACGTTTGATGAGCAAACAGGTCCTCCTAGCCACCTACATTCATACCCATCTGTTAGGATGGCAACAAGCCTCTGCACAAAGTAACATGCCAGTATTAGAAGGCCAGAGAAACGAGCCAAAAGTAGGGATAAGGAGAAATCTAAATAACATTGCACTTACCAGATCTTCTTCCTGAATTTCATCCTACTTGCAACAGGTGGTATTACTCTACTGCACAACAACTTTTTAAATTTGATTCTAGTTACATACAATTATGAGACTAGCAGCATACAGGAAAGAATTGGTTGGTTGTGGATACTCACAGCTGCTGAAAACCCTTGAGATGGATTGCAGCTGGTAGTGGAGAAGCCCGTTAAAGATATCTGTCAATTTACTTTGAACAGCTAGAGGCAGCAGGTGCTGAAGGTGATGATAATTCCCTGGAAGACAGTACCACCTGGGACAGTCACAGTCAGCCCAGAAAGGCTAACTACAAGCTCTGTCTCTATAATGACAATCTGGAATGGCAAGAAGTATAATTCACCCAGTCTGAATTGCAAACCTTGTCATAAGTTTGTTGTACAAACCTGTGCACCGTACTTCTCAAAAAGCACAAAATCTCAGAAAACTTTTTATTCATCAATAAGTCTGGAGCTTATACGCTCACTGCATTTTTGTGTCTTTGACACTGTGAAGTGGGTAGATATTATTTTGTATTCTGCAAAAAAAATAAACAGAGAGAAGAAACTGTCATTTTACATTTCCAAGAATACAATGAGTGGGTCTTTTCCTAATTTTGAGGTTTGCCCTTTACCAAAAATAATTTCAGTTTTGATAGAAGTGCTTTGGGTTTTTTCATAAATATAAAATTGCCCCCAGCATCTTTTAGCATATGTAGGCAGTTCTTTTAGAAACTATGTCTTTCCCAAAGAACACGAAAAAGTTACAAAATATCTCTTTACAAAACTGATGATTAACAAAGTATTGTGTTATAAATGAACTGTAAAATGTTGAGATGAGATTAGAAAAGCATTTCCCACTTTGACACTAAAACTCCATTTCTAAGCTTTGGAAAATACTGGTTTTAATTAGTCTGCCATATGCTGCTGTGTATAGATCTTTCTAAGCAGAAAGCCTTTGCTTTGGAATCTCTCTGAGACTCAGCCACCCTGAGATATCCAAATCTCCCACTGACTGAACAAACTATTTAGGGCCTTATCCAAAGCCCAGTGGAAAAGATTGTTATAACCCTTAACTTGTTCCCCTTGCCATGATAGATGTGCCCAGCAGAGAGACACAGTCCCACCATTTGATATGATTAGAGTTAACTGAGATTTTTGATGCTTTCTGTAATAGAGCAGAGATTGGAGAAGTTACTGATTTTTAACTGGTTTTAATTGTGAGAAATCTGTGCCAAGAAGATGAGTCCTCCAGATCTCCCTGAGAGGGACAATGCCAAATACAGACAGTCCATGACTGAAGAAATCAAACAAGAAAGGATGACTGCACAGAGAGGAGGACAGGGAGAGGATAGGTGAGTTTTCAGGTATGTCACCATCTTCAAGTTTTTTGCCTAACTCAAAGCAATGCAGGGTCATTTTCTTTAAGAACATTGTGGAATGTATTAGGATCTACCTCTCTTGATGAAATTTCCTTGAAGAAAAAGAAAACAGAATGAAAACAGACAGAGATCAGAGCTCATTCATTAAATACAGAAAACAGGAACCTCAGATACTGAGCTGTTGTCTGCTATCTTCTCTATTAATAGTCTATATTCTGTATTTAATGGCTGTTAGCATCATGCCCTTTACAATAACTCATTCACTCTTTATATAGTCACCTAAAATTCTCTGATCTCAACTTTACCTTATGAAAAGGACTTCAGTTGCCAAGAAAAAATTCCAGCCCTTAGACATGTCGTGAGTTTTGCATCACCCTGTTTTTCACTTCTGTTTCAATGATACATCTGTCTCCTTTTTTTTTGCCTATTTAGATTAAGAATAATATAAGAAGGCATTCACTATTTGCTCTTCATTTTCTAGCCCTAAAGGGTCCAGCCTCTGTCCACTCAAGGCTAATACCATAAAATAATATGATAAATAATGCTAGATATTTTCATCTGATCTGTTGTTTCAATATTTAAAACCAGACACTGAGAAAGGCAACATCTCGCATGTAAAAGAACCACTTATCTAGCTAATGTACTTGAGGAAAAGTTCAGTCATATATAATCTAGAAAAATCACATACTAACTAGAGAAATAGTGGGCTCATTTCCCTGACTAGAGGAGAATTTCTCCTCTAATGTTTGTTCTAACCGAATGTTGCATTTTTTCCATAGGTTCTGTTTCTCACAGCCTGAAAAATCTACGTTTTCTTCTCATTTTTTCCAAGCTGCTGCTTCTAACTTTGGAAAAATAGATACTCTGTACTAACTCATAGCTTGGAATTAGATGGGATGATATCATTTAAATTCAAAAATATTATTCAGACTAGTTTGGGTTATAGAGTTATATGACAGAATATGTCAATGAAATAATTATTGAATTTACAGAGTGGAGAAAAGTTCCTTCTTGTG